CATCATCATCATCTATTATTCGGACGAAACTTCTTTACCCTTGAAAATCTTTCGCATCTCATACTGTACATACATATATACGTACATGCATACATACATACATATATGCGAGGAGCTCAGAAAGAGAGAGAAAAAAAAAAAAAGGAGAGCGCAAGAGAAAGAAGGGGGATTTCGTTGTTCTCCGGAATCGTGGAACCACCTTAGAGTTTTTTTCTTTTTCTTTTCACCCTTCGCTCCTTTCTTCTCCCTTTCTCTCTCTCCCCCCTTTTCCCTTTTATTCTTTCTCCAGTGAGCGTTCAACGTCTCTCTGCTCCGTCGTCGTCGTCGTCGTCGTCGTCGTCGTCGTCGTCGTCGTCGTCGTCGTCGTCGTCCCACGAGAACGAGAGAGTGAATGAGAGAAAGAAAGAAAGAGAAAGAAAGAAAGAAAGAAAGAAAGAAGAAGGGAAAGAGAGAGAGGGGGAGAGAGAGAGAAAGAGAGAGAGAGAAAAAGAAGCGTTCGTCGACGATCGTACTTGCACCTTTCTCACAAGGCGACGCGAGAAGCCTAGCTATCCCTTCCTTCCACCGAGAATCCCTTTCACTCGAATCTCTTAGAGGGCAGGAGAAGGAAGCGAGAGAGAGAGAGAGAGAGAGAGAGAGAGAGAGAGAGAGAGGGAGAAAGAGTGAGACACTGAGATCCAGTTTGACCGTATAGGTTAGATCCTCGTTGGACTCTTCGCGTATATTTCGAGGTGGTTCGTTTTATTGCGAATCCGGTTTGCTCCCCGTGACGAGAGTGGAGAAAGAGCAGGAGTACTGCGAGAGGAACGAACAGAAAGAAAGAAAGGAAGAAAGAAAAAGAGAGAGAGGGAGAGAGAGCGAGAAGGGCGGAAGGGGGAAGGGAGAGGGAGAAGAAGAGAGAAAAGAAAGAGTAGAATGGTAAGAGGGAAAGACGTATTGAAAGAAAGGGCAAAGAGTGCGAGTGAGAGATAACGTGGGACTGCTTAACGGAGAGAAAGAGATAGAGATAGAGACGGGAAGTCGACGAAGAAGGTTGTTGAGGATGAGGAGGAGGAAGAGGAGGGATCTTTCTTCCGTCGTTCCGCCAACAACAAACACTCGCTCCCTCGTTTCCCTTTCTCTCGATCGGCTCGTTGCCATTGCCGTTGCCATTGCCGTTGCTCCTCTCCTCACCTCAACGTTTTGCCGGAGCAGTTGCAATTGCATTTGCTATTACTCGTTCCTAGGATAGAAATTGCTTTGGCTATTAGAACTTAGACGAAAGTGACGAAGTTGGTGGTGGTGGCCACTTTCAAGGTTACAAACTTCCTTTGCATATCGTTTATGTGTATATATATATATATATGTTATTTAAGAGCACAAGTATACCTTGTGTTAGCTAAATATTATTAATATTTTTTCATACATATAGTCTTTTTGTATTTCTTCAATATCGTTCCAATGCAATCGCACTAATCTCACGTTTATCTTAGATTTCCTCGTTCTTGTAACATCTCGATCTAATGTAAGAGATTGTTCTTACGCGGGAATTTGCTTATACGTCCTCGACGAGTTCTGAGAGTTTATAGAAAAAAAAAAAAAAGAAAAAAAAAGGAGAAAAAAAAAAGGAAGAAAAAGGAAAAGGAAAACAAAACAAAACAAAAAACAAAGCAAAGAAAAGAATCTCTGCGAGAGAGAACTATCGTTTCGAAAAATGACGTTTCCTTTTACAAGTTGGATTTACGTAATTACATCTCTTTTGTCTTCCTACGTATAAACTGCCGTGACGACTAAGACTTCTTTTTGCATCAATTATCGCGCTTATCATTACATTACGAACGCCTTGCGCATAAGTTACTTTTAATTACCCATTCGTTCGGCAACGTAATGAGAGAGAAAGAAAGGGAAAGGAAACAGGGTCATCCTATATAAGAAACAAGTATTTATATATATATATATACACCCACACACACAAACACACACACACACACACACATATATATATTTTGAGCGATTTAGAGATTTTTACAATTAGACATATTACTAATTTGTTTCTAATTTCGTTATTTCTATTTTATCTTATTATTCGAGTTATTTATTCCCGATAAGTTATGGTACAATATTAAGGAAAAATAACTGCATTTACAAGGATAATATAAATGTTTGTTATTTATTTATGCTAATGTTACATATATCATAATATTATATTTGACATAATCATGCATATACATACCGATAGTCTTGCAAAAGCATAAGAATAAATCATTATATATATATATATATATATATATATATATATATATATATCGACTATTATAAATTTGTCGTGGAAATGGGAAGAAGAAGAAGAAGAAGAAGAAGAAGAGAAATATTTCTTTATTGATTGAGATCACCGGAGCTTCTTATTTTCGAAATGAATTCTTTCCCAGGCGCAACATGACGAAAATCTTTCCAACTCTCATTCGCATTGGCTCATCTGCCAATGCATTTATGCACTTATTTGCGTACCTCATAAAATGTCAGCATGCCACGCTCGTTAGCGAGCTCACGAAGCCTAGCCTTTCGGCTGACAACGGAAAGCTTCTTCTCCTTCTAACGAACAATTGAAATCGATTTTCACATTGGGATCATATTATTATTATGTATATGTACATATCCATGTACATATACATAATATTTTTATATTCAATAATTATTTTTATATAATCCACGTGTAATTGTGTATACATTTCATTCTAACTCTTTCCTTTTCTTGCTTTTTTCGTTTTTCTTCCTTCCTTTTTGTTTCTTCATTCCTTTTTTTTCTTTTCTTCTTTTTTTTTCTTTTTTCTTTTTTTTTCTTTTCCTTTCTTTTCCTTTTTTTTTTTTGAACTCTATAAATTATTTTCAAATGCGTTTTATCGCAGTGAGAAAATCATAAAAAACAATAAAACCGAAGCGTTATTAGTTATTATATTGTTCGACGTTTACGCGAATGATTCTCGACCGAATCGTAGGAGTCCATTCGAACGCTCGCGAACGTACTCTCGTTAATGGAAGAAAATGCGATTGCCGCTATCATCGCGCAAGAGAACGAAGTAATAGAGTGTAGTAATAGCTCACGGGCTGATGTCATGCGGTAACCTTCTACTTTGCA